GTAGTAGTAGTAGTAGTAGTAGTAGTTAGTAGTTAGTAGTTAGTAGTTAGTAGTTAGTAGTTAGTAGTTAGTAGTTAGTAGTTAGTAGTTAGTAGTTAGTAGTTAGTAGTTAGTAGTTAGTAGTTAGTAGTTAGTAGGTAGTAGTAGGTAGTACTAGTAGTAGTAGTAGTAGTTGTTGTTGTTGTTGTTGTTGTACTAGCAGCAGTAGTAGTAGTAGTAGTAGTAGTAGTAGTAGTAGCAGAAACGAAAAGTTCTGCCTTAGATCTGGAAGCGACGTGGATGCTGCGAGCGCTCGGCCTCTCCATGATTCCGGGGAGCAGCTAAGTTTAGAGCCAACGTTGGGCTTGAGGAGGGGTTTAGGGGTTTAGGGTTTAGTTCTGTAGAAATGCTTATGAGGTCCCTTTTCCTAGGGGTTTACAAATGCTTAGGGGTTTTGGGGCTGGCGGGTTCTGCAGGATTTCAAGGTGCTCGCGGCTTTGGTGCGAAGGAGTGGAAGCCTGCTTTGAATTGATGTTAACGGAAGCCCTACAACCTCAGAACGGAAATCCCTCAGAACGGAAATCCCTAAAGCTCTGTACCCGTAAACCTAAACCCCTAAACCCTAAAACCTAAACCCTAAACCCCTAAACCTTAAACCCTTAAGCCCAAAACCCTAAACCCTAAACCCTGAAGCCCAAAACCCTAAACCCTAGGCTTCATAAGCTCAGGGTTTCCGGCCCCTGGAGCTGTGTGAGTGCATAGGATCTCTTCGGGCCGAAAAAATCCGACACCTGAGGCTTTTGGGGTTTAGGGTTTAGGGTTTAGGGTTTAGGGTTTATAGGGTTTAGGGTTTAAGGCTTTGGGTTTGGAGTTTAGGGTTTTGGGGGTTGGGGTTGGGGTTGGGGTTTAGGGTTTAGGAGTTTAGGGGTTTAGGGGCTTAGGGGTTTTGGGTTTTGGGTTTTGGGTTGTGGGTTAGGCCTTAAACGTGTTTGAGCCTTAACCCTAAACCTTGCCCTCACTCCAAATACCAGCCCTGAACCCTAAACCCCAAACTCTCGACTAAAACGACGAAACGCCCTAAACCTGAGACCATATTATAGGGTTTGGGCCCATTATACTAAATCATAACAACGAACCCCCCCCCAAAAAAAAAAGTATTGGTAATTATTCAGGCCCCTAAACCCTAAACCCTTATAGTAGCCCTTATAGAACCCTTTTCAGGAACCCCTTTGAGGAACCCCGGGAACCCCCCAAATAGTATTCGTAATTAGTTAGGACCCTACATTCAACAAGACACCCGACCTGGGAATGCGAACTCGCCACTTCGAAGAGACACCTTGTGAGCCCCACGATAGCTACTCTTAGCGTTTTGGGTTTAGGATTTAGGATTCAGCGTTCAGGGTTTAGGGTGTACGGTTTAGGGGTTTAGGGTTTAGGGTTTGGGGTTTAGGGACTTCGACGCCGATAGTTAGTGTGGCTGCTTGCTTGATATGGCCGAATAAATGCTCATCTTCCATATAGTGGCTAATCTAGTCCCTATAAAAGTAGAGTACAAATCCCTGGCCCCTGCCACCGTAAACCCCCAACCCCAAGGTTAAACTGTAAAACCCTGAATCGCCAGCAACCCTAAACACCAACTCCCAGCACCAAACTCGACATAACGCCGATGGCCACGGTTTTTCGCACTGCCAGCGCTCGGCGCTGTTACGGCCTTCCGCTGTCTGAGGTTGGACTTGGGTGGTAGTTGCGGTGGTGCTCAGAGGTTCTGGGCCCAAGGTTCAGGGTTGAGACGTGCAGTGTTCATTGCAAGTCACGGTTTTTGCGTTTGCGGTGATGTGGGTGATGTGCAGGCCGCTGATCGCTGATCACCATTCCCTCAACATCATCACCATCGTGATCATCTTCTTCATACACAATATCCTCACCCTCAACATGTGTGTACGAATCCACCCATACGACAAAAACACAAGAAAAATATGAGTACGACTATGTCCATGGCAAAGGCACTGATAACCGGTAAGCAAGGAGGGGAAGGATGGCAAGACCGAAAATGCTGTTGCGGATGAGAATCATATCGACAACAACCGTGGATACTGTTCAACCCTAAACCCTAAACCCTAAACCCTAAAGCCTAAACCCTGGGAGTTCTAGGCATTCTGCACTCTCACCGGCAAGGTTTGGGGCTCAGACATCACGGTTCTGGGCAGGGTACACTTGCAATGGACCGGGGGGGGGAGCCTCGCAGTCGTCTTGAGGAAAGCAAGAAACCCTAAAACCTAAACCCCCAAACCCTAAACCCCTAAACCCCTAAACCCTAAACCACGGTTTAGGGTTTAGGGTTTTAGAGTTTAGGGTTTAGGGTTTAGGGTTTAGGGTTTAGGGCCTTTCATGTGGGTGCTCGTGTATTGGCGGCTTGCACGAAGCCAGCGATGGCACCCTTGAATGCTTGATTTAACATGCATAGATTATTCGCAGGATGCCATGCTAGTGAAACGAATCAAGACGAGAATAAGCATGCTTGAGCCACAGAGGAACGAAGAGTTTGGAAAGTGGCAACAGCCTCTCGAAGAAACCCGCACATGCTTAACCCGAAGCCCCCGAACCGGAAACCCCACCCGGCTCCTGGGAACCCTTGCAGTAACCGATACGAAAAGCCCCTTATCAAACCTTCCTTGCCCTAAAGCCATCGACTCTGAAGCCCTCAACCCTGCAAGTCCGAAACCCACCCACCCTCCCCGGGTTTAGGGTGTAGGGTTTAGGGCCCATTGTCAATACCCGAAACCCTAAACCCTAAACCTCAAACCCTAAACCCTAAACCCTAAACCCCAAACCCTAAACCCTATAAACCCTAAACCCTAAACCCTAAACCCTAAGGCTCAAGCCCAAGCACCCGCCGGCCTCAGATCCAATCTGTGCTTCCCACCGCGCCGGCCGAAGTGCATGGCAAAGCCCAGAAAACTCGGAGAGGACGGACAGGTGGGAACAACAAAGAAGGGCTTTGGGCTTAGGGCTTAGGGCTTCGGGTTTAGGGGCGGGGTTAGGGTATAGGGCATTGAGGTCTTTAAGGTTACGTCTTAGTGGGTTTGAGGATTTAGGGCTTTGTTCTTGGCCGTGTACAGTCAAAGTTGTTGGGTATAGTCTGCAATATGAACCTAATGTCTACAGTCTATAGTCTACCCACATGCTCATTTGGAGGCTTTGATGCGGGGGGGTTGGGTGCAGATGCACTCCCCCTGAACCATAAACCCTAAACCCTAAGCCCTACACCCCAAAACCCTAAACCCCAGAACACCCCAAGCCCGAAACCAGACGGACCCAGCGGCACAGAGAGCGCCAAGTGCAGGCCACAGGCGCCTTGTCTGAATGCAGAGGCTTCTTGTGCAACTACTATAGGGTTTAGGTTTTAGGGTTTAGGGTTTAGGGTCTACACCTATAGTCTCCATTGTAGTTCCTTTTTTTGGTTTAACCAGTTATATATTAAGGATTTCATAAGGTATCCCCAAAAAGGAACTACAATGGAGACTAGAGGTAGAGGCCGTAGTAATCACCTACGCT